ACTTCAAGTCACTCCTGAATTGGAATGCCTGGTATGGGCTTTCTCTGAACCTCTTATTGTCATTTCTCTAATGCACCAATGTTTTCACAGAATGGTATGACGGAATGTGTTAACATCTTTTTTGCAGACAAAAGATCACTGTCAATGTTGTCAGTGTGCCCTTTGCAGAAACTGATGAAATCACTTTCCATATTCCATGTAACTTTCTTCTTCTTCATTTCTGTTAACATGTAGCAATACACAGTTTGAATAAAGAAAAAAATACATTTAATACTGTATATATTTAAATACAGTGCACATTAAGTTGGGGAAGGACCATCATTTTGTGTAACTGTCTACATAGAGAGTAAAAGAAGTTGAAGATAAAAACATATTAAGAAAAAGATAGAAAACCTCTATGCACTCCTAATCTTCATGTTAACATGACTATTTTTGCATTTGTGCTGACAGGTCAAATATTTTACTTAATCCTTTTTCCAGCTATAGTGCTGTAATCTGATGTCTGTCATTGGAAATATCTGTAATTGTATTAAGAAATTATCCAAAATTCTGCTCCTCTGGATCCAGCTGAAAGATCAAGACCTAAAGATAAAAGCTCTTACTGAGCAAGCATTGCCTTTTGTTATCAAATACTGAATAAACACCTGTACTTTGAGATTCTGGATTTTCCTATTGTTATATAGACCATAACAAAACATCATATTGCCATAAAGAAAAATAAGAATTACTGTGAGTTTTCAAGGAGATTGAGACTTTCTAGTGCATTAAATTCTTCAGTATAAAGTTTAAGGACATTGACAATGTTTAAGGGTTGTTCCAGCCTTGCTAAAAATAAGTTAAAATCACATCTTACATCAGGCTTCTTCCTGGACAGTTCCTTGCTTTCCTAGTATTTTGGACTTAATCTTAGTGTAATCTTATTTTCATGTGCCTTGTTTCTTTGGTCAGGAATTCAAGCAATGGATTTAAATCAGCTTTATTCCTCTTTTCAATTTTTTCATCCTTTACCTTTGCCTTTACCTTTGCCTTTCCTGCCTCTTCCCACTCCAGAGTTCTTATACTGATTATGTTAGAATAAGAAAAAGACAATATGCTTTTGTTGTGGTTTGGGCATTTCCTTCAGTGACAGTTAAGCTTTTATCCCCTTTGCTTTTCATTAAGAACACATAAGAAAACGGGCAAAATCTATTCAGGTTTATTTGTTCTTCTGTATTATCCAGTTGATTTTTGCCTATTGCTACTTTTACCATTTTCCTCTAATAATTATATAAATTTCAGGCAGTTCTCCTGAATCATTTAGACAACTATTTGCTTTATTTTTTGGCATGAACACTTTCATGTCAGTTTTCTTGGTCATGTTAATTTTATCTTTCCTGTAGCACTGCATGAGGTTATTGTAAACCAAAGTGCAGGACTCTGCACTTGGCCTTGTTAAACCTTATACTACTCATGGGTACTACTATACCCATCAATCCAGCCTATCCCAGTCCCTCTACAGATCCATAGTATCCTCGAGCAGATCAACACTCCCATCCAGTTTGGTGTTGTCTGCAATATCTGTATTTCAGAAGCCTCAGAGGAAAATAAAATAATTTAAAATTAATCTGAAAACTAAAAGAAATATTAATATTTATTATTAGTATTACTATAAATAGAGTGTTACAATTCCTTACAGCTTTACTTTTAATACAATGGCATTTGGACAAAGTTTTCTGTCACAAGGCTATCTGCAGATTCTAGGTTAGCAATATTAGAAATAATAGTTATAATAATATTTATTATTAGCAATAATAAAGCTCAAAACATTCCTGGAGAATTGAGTCTTGAAACTTACAAACACAGCTCAACAGATCACCAATTTTGGAGAAAGTTCCGTTGCTACAATCTGCTGAATCTCTCCAGGCCTATCTGGGAAAAATTTTCTTTACAAAGATTTTCTTAACGTATTATTTTTCTTTCCAAACAAAAAATTCCCTAGATATTCCAGCATCCAAAACATAGCATCTAAATACCATGCAGATAACGCCCTGTTAGTGACAAAGTAAAAGCTCATTATGGCAAAAATAAGCTACTGTGCACATCTCTGCTTTATGTCTGTGGATATATCCAGGATCTACTGGAACCCACCAGTTCATGACCAAATGGATAATCATCCTGCTTGTTTAGTTTTCAGCAACTGTGTTAATAAATAAGGTTATGGTGAAATTAGAACTAAGTTCTCATTTGCATTAGCAAGTAATTGCATTCAAGTGATCCAAGCCATAAAACCATAATGATGTTCATATCATCAGCACCTTCCAATTTCCTCTACAGAATCTGAATTCATTTTAAAGCCAACTTCTACAAATCAAGTAATAACATGTTATTGAAAAATATTTAATGCAATACCCTATCTGATAATCCAGTTCTGAAAAGCCCTTCCATAAATATTAGGAAACTTGTCCACTCTGAATTGTATCTGTTGAATCATAAACATTCATTTGGAACATAATTTATATTTCAACTTTTAACCTTTCTGCTTTGATTTGATCTATGATATACAAAATCTCTAAAATGTGTGTTTTATTTCTGGCTGTCTTAAGTGTCTCCATCTGTCTTACAAATTCCTTTGTGGATTTAAACAAAATATTTGTTTTTTTTTTTCTCTCACTGCATTTTTTTTTGCCTTTTCCTTTTGCTTTTTTTTCACTTTCTGCTTATATTTGTGAGCAGATTTCTTTCTAGGGAACACATGTAGTAGCAATTTTTGGGGAAATGTGTACAGTTTAACTGTAAATAATGAATCGTGTGAGGATAGCAAATACAGAGTTGATAGAGAGCAAAGTGTTTACAACTACTGATACATAATTTGTTTCTAAAACACACCAGAAAATATCTGACAAGCAAGATTAGGGTAGAGTATGCATTTTTTTGGAGCTATCAGATCTACCTTGTAACAAAAAAGGAATCTATCCCTGTGTTCAGGCTTCTAATGTGCCTGTGAATGCTGCTGCTTGGAATGTCATTCCTGTAACACTTTTTTCCTTACCAGTAAGTGCAAACTGAAAGAAGAACTTCTCATAATATGCCTTGTCAGACTAAAAAAAGGCAGATAAAAGTGTTCATCTACAGTGTTGCTATTAGATTTTGTATAGACAGAAATATTTGCTAAGCTATACTTTGAAGAAATAGTGTCCAGAAGATAAAATCTTACATATTTTAAAAATTATTATTCTTTCTCACATTTGGAATTAAACATAGAAGACACTGGATTTCATGCTGCTGGATCATCCTAGGGACAAGCTCTCTTTCTCAGTGAAGGATATGCCCGAATGAAACCTATTAATGCCTCCCTCTGTGATCTTATTTAAACTCCAGTCTTGGTGTCATTGCGCCTGGATGAGGAAGAAGAAGTAAATAACATCTGATCATGTGAAGGAACCCTGAAACATTCTCAGTACTAATTATGCATTTTCTTGTTTAGACTTTCATTATTTTTATTCCATTCTGCTGACACTCTCTTCTAAGCAATCATTCTTTATCACATATTCAAAAAGTAAAAATACATTGACATGTGATGCTACAAGTTGGAATTAGATTCTGTCAAACAAATAAGAACAAAAAGGAAATGACAGACTTAGGAATCTGAGAAGATGTTGTTACTAAAATTTATGTTCTGTTCAGGAAAAAAAGCTACATTTTTGTGACAGGTATTGCAGAATTTTCATATGCAATCTAAATTAAAGTATTGTTTAACATTTTCAGTAATTTTGTTTCCTGAATAAGTCTCTGTTCCTTGAATATTTCTTAAACTTTATTTTAAATAAAAGTAATAAAAAATTACATAGACATTTTATCAAGGAATCATTTCAGTGATACACACTTGTAAATTTAGGCCTCTAGAACCAAACTAGGTGTTTTGAGAAACATCTGGACAAATAACCCTGTATTTGGGCATCTGTCAGATGCCCATACATACATGTCTATTTACATGTGCATGTTATTTCTGTATTTGTTAATTGTATGAATGAATGGAATCTGAACCTAGTCAACATCAAGTTATAGTGTAATAACTTCCTTCTCAATGATCCAAGGCAAGTTTAAGAGTTTTATGTAGAATGGGTTATAATGAGAGGGAGATGTTAGGACTCAGGATTATCCTTCCCAGGTTGCTGCTATCAAGAGCCCTGAGGGCACTACTTAGATTCACCATCCCTGATGGTCCTCACCAAGGACCCACCTGGCCAGAACCCCATTTTATCTCAGACAGGCACCTGGTGACAACAGTCGTCAGGGTGCACTGTGGTTAACCCTGCATTTAGTCCTGCCTTCGGGGCTTGCATTCACTTACTTGATTCATCTGTTTTAATGAGCAATAACCACCAGACAGCACAGGAGAGAACTACTTTGAAGATCGACCTAAGCAATTGACCAACTTTTCAGTAAGATGTGAAATTAACAGTTGTGAGATGTGTCAGTCTGATTCGTGTTAAAATAATGTGAAGAAAATGGGGAAGATGTGACCTCTGTGACTATTTTGGCTGTCCTTGTACAGAGAACAGATTGAGAAGAAGTATGACAGAGTGTATAGTTGTATAAGACCCATAAGGCGCCAGAAAGGAGACACTTATCTGAACCCTCTTCAGAAAAGAGACAATACCAGTCTTGTGGTTTGAGCAAGAGCCAAGAAGTAACTAAGTCTGTGCAAGGAGGAAAGCTTAACAAAGGTGAAGAAAAAGAAAAAAAGAAACAGCTTTCATTCCGTGCGACCCCCCCTCAAGACCGCCAGCAGGGAACACTGCGCAGGCGTGGATGGGAGGAGAGCAAAGCATAATATGAACGCGGGATAGATCATGCATATGTATAAGTGTATTGCGAAATGCCATGAATATGTATTAGTTAAAGAAATATAAACCTGAAAAGAGAACTGTACGGCGTGCGTGTCAGATGGACCAGATTGTGTCCACACGCACCGAGCGCTGTTTGCTTGCCTTTACTCACTTAATAAACTTTAATTGGATTCCTCGTTAGTATAGTGGTGAGTATCTCTGCCTGTCATGCGGGAGACCGGGGTTCGATCCCCCAACGGGGAGTCACTGTTTGAGCCTAAATCATATATCACAACAGTCTTTTTTTTTCCTCAACATTTGGCACACTTTGGTGGTATGCAAATATCCTACTCTTTAGAAGTCTGTTTCTTATCAATTGTATGAGTACACCAAACCTCATGCTTGTGAATTTACCAGATGGTAATGTATGTAAAAATTAAGAGTCCAAATGCTCAGTACTGTAATCTATACTGTCATGAGGACCATGGGACATATTTTACACCTTTAAAGTGTGAGTAGTGGAAGATATAGTCATGTTTTTTCTAAACATCAGCCAAGGGATATATCACCTGAGTTCAGTTCCATGAAGTGAGATAAGAAATCGTCCCAGAGAAATGTCCCATGCGGAGTCACCAGAACAAATTAAAGGTTCTAGCTCAGCCTTTTGGTTTCCTGCTTTTTTTGCTGTAGGTTTGATAATAGTTTTGAGAAACCTGAAAGAATATTTTTTTAAAACTTAATTTGCAAGAAATCCTGCACAAAAATTAGATAGATTTTTAAGAGACCATTTCAACATGTAAAATTTCTGGTTTTAAACTAGTAATAATGTTCTGTTCTACCACAGGAGAACTTTCTATATAGTTCTATTTTAAGACTATTGCATTAAAAAAAAATCAGAAGTAAGGTATAAGTTGAATTGTTGAATTTAAGTATAACTGCTTCTGTGAGCATAAGCAGCAATAAAACAATTGGAGATTGTGGAGCATTACTGTCTTGCTCAAATTTCGTTAACAAGTATTAAGTTAAGACTATAGAACATCTTAATAGTGATGGTGCATTAAAACAGACTATATACCTCCTCCCTCTTGAAGATTTCAGTCATCAAAAATCTAACTGATGAAGAAAAAAAAATGGAGAAGAAAAAAATATTATTTTTTTACCTATTGCACCACCAGGAGATTATAGAACTTCAAATCCATGTCTATTTTTTTCAGAGCATAGCCTTATTTTATCATGATACTCAACTGTATGCTTAATTTAATACAGCATTTATAGCATATTTCATAGATTTGTTGAAATATCAGCTGTCTTATTGCCCAATCCTTAAATTTCACTAGTGGGTCTCAGTAACCACTTTTTCTGAATGTTAAAGGTATAGTCTAAATACAGCAGTCTATATTGCTTCATTAGCAACATGATCATGACATATCAAACCAGATGTAAAGATGAAAGGAGTTAATGTAAGCTTAAGGAGGATAAACTCTGTAGCACAAAATATTTTTCCCATAGCTGTATGAGATTAATTCCATTGATCGTTTATATTAATATCTCATTTATGAAATTGTTTCTGTCATCACTAACCAAAACAGCATGAAGCTTTGCTTCTTTCCCTCATAATTTAAATACACTAGCTTTTAGAACAACAAGGAATATAATCTGAATTTTGACTAGGTAAAATGTTGAATCCAAATGTTACAAGTAATATTCAACAATTTTCAAGCAGAAGATAATTGGCAAAGGTATATGTATTTAAAATAAACACCATTCAAGTGAACACTCTCAGTACTAGAAATACTACTTGCCATATAATTGTCTAAATATTTGTTTTTCAAATTTTTAAGGAGTGACTACTTTTCAACTAATTGAGATATTGAAACTTTGCTAGTTTGACATCTAGTTTCTTGTGAAGTACATTAGTGACAAGCACATATTTTTTAAGGAACTTTGATTTACTTTTTGTTTCTTTTAATTCTTTGAACTGAAAAGCTTGTCATATTTTCTAGCTCTTTCTTTGTAGATTGAGTAAATTATTCCCTCATAAAAACTTCTGTATTAGGCTTCATTTTGGACTCTTGATCAGAAAAGATTGTCATAAGTCTTCATCGATAAGAATTTTTTTTTTTCTACTGTAATTTGTTTTGTTTCTAGCATGTACTAGTTTGGTCAACTAATGGAGTGGATTCCATGTTCTATACAAATATGCAGAAAATCTACCTGGAGTAGGATTTAATTTTTTTATAACCATACATTTTGACTTCTTTATGTATTTTTTTTTCTTAAAAAAAATAGCTAGCCAAAATAAATGAACAATTACAATGTGGTAGACATGAATTCTAAATGCATTCCCAGTGTCAAAATATAATTTTCTTGGAGTAGTATTCCTCTGAGTTCATACAAAGCAATATCACCTCTAAATAACCTCCAATGTGACCACTCTCATTCTATGCAGTCTGGAATACCTAATACAATACTTTGTAGATAGAATCACAGAATTACAGACTATTAGGAGTCAGAAGGGACTTCAAAAGATCATCTAGTCCAACCCCCCTGCCAGAGCAGGATCACCTGGACTAGATCACACAGGAACGCATCTAGTCAGGTCTTGAATGTCTTCAGAGAACGAGACTCCACAGTCTCTCTGGGCAGCCTGTTTCAGTGCTCCATCACCCTTACAGTAAAAAAGTTTTTCTTTATCTTCAGATTGAACCTCCTGTGCTCCAGCTTGCACCCTTTGCTCCTTGTCCTAACATTTGACATCAGAGAGAAGCACCTGGCTCCTTCCTCCTGACTCTTGCCCTTTACAAATTTATAGACATTAATGAGGTCACCCCTCAGTCTCCTCTTCTCCAAGCTAAAGAGACCCAGCTCCCTCAACTGCTCCTCATAAGGGAGATGCTCCACTTCCTCAATCATCTTTGTGGCTCTGTGCTGGACTCTTTCAAGTACTTCCCTGTCCTTCTTGAACTGAGGGGCCCAGAACTGAACACAATATTCCAGATGCGGTCTCACCAGGGCAGAGTAGAGGGGAAGGAGAACCTCTCTCGACCTACTAATTACACTCCTTCTAATACATCCCAGGATGCCATAGGCCTTCTTGGCCACAAGGGTACATTGCTGCCTCAAGGTCATCCTGCTGTCCACCAACACCCCCAGGTCCTTTTCTGGCTGGCAGAAACTAGTTTCAATGTCATTGATGCTACTTATCTAAAGTAGTCTTGGTAGAGTTTTCTGTTAATAGAAGGACATTCATTTTCAAAAGCAACTTGCTTTGATTTGATTTAAGCAGTCATGGAACTGCATTGTAATTGTTGGGCTTATGCCCATTTTAAGTGCTTCTTCAAGTGGAAAGATAAGCAGTTTACTCTATCCCCTTTCTATAAAACCTATTATATTTATTATTATTATTTCATTTAGGCACATGACTCTTATGTTCTGGTACCCTCTGTAGCAAACAACGATATCCCTAAAGGAATCCCTTTCATCCCAGAAGAAGTACTTAGGATAAGAAGCTGAAGCCTATGATTTTTGACATTCACATTCTCTGTTTATTTAAGAAGGACCTTGGGCATCTTGTTTAGAATAGCTACACAACAAATATGGCACTCAAATTATGTAAATGGTAAACATATATTAAGTTAGAATAAACTGGCAAAAGAAAACACATATTCTTGCAGAACTTGGATACATTTACTAATTTTGTATTCATATTTCCATACGGAAGCTGGAACATGGTCAACAAATATTTTGTAACTGAGTCATACCTTCACATGTCACAGATAGTACTTGTACATTCCTGTGTTGAAGTTTGTGAAAATGTGGGAATTTGAAGAGGAAAGCTCCTCCTTCCTCACCACGTGTATGCAAAAAGAAGTGAAAATCCTTACATCCGGTCTTTCCTCACTAGAGACAGGTGGAACAGCTGAATTCCTCTTTTCCTGATTATAGGTAGCCATTAAGTAAAAAGGAATAAATTAATTCTTGCAAAATGTATTGCATTGTATGAAGTATCTTCTTTATCCTACAGGTACTCATCAGAAATTCACAGCTGTTTTAAGGAGCTACAGCAGCTAGCAATTCTCTGAAAATGAAACAATAAAATATCTGAATCTAACACAACTGATCCAGGAGTTAAAAGTCAATTACAATCTCAGAATCGGGGACTGGTTGGGTCAGTATCAGTGTAGATCAGGACTGTGGAATAGCAGAATGATATGTGATCCTCCAGAGGATCAGGCAGATAACTCTCCATAGCTTTTTTCCCCAAGGTGCTAGGAATGAGAAAAGACATTCAGTCAATAATGTACTCAGTTTTTAAAAGCTGTGGAAAAAAATCTAATACATGGTCTGTATATGCAGTCCTGAAAATAAGAGAATACTTAAATTCTGATGGATCCTTGGACTGTATTACATTTTCAGACTAAAGTAGTTGTCTTTTGAAATGATTATAGGTGTAAGTTAGCACTTTTTCTGTTGTTTGGTTGGGTTTTTTTGTTTGTTTGTTTTTTTGTTTTTCTGTTTTACTACACAAAGATTTAAGCTGTCATGATTAGAAAAAAACTAATCAAAATATAAGTTTCAGAATGCCAGTACTTGCTAGGTAAAAATTGTCAACTATAAAGTTTTTACAGATTTCCTGTGTTCAGTAGTAACCTTTTCTGTGACTGTGCACATTCACAATTTCTGTAAATGTATGGATGTTGGATAGGTGGGCCCAGGTGAACCTCATGAGGGTCAACAAGACAGAGTGCAAGATCCTGCACCTTGGTAAGGACAATCCTCTTTATCAATACAGACTGGGGGATGGTGTGATAGAGAGCAACCCTGCGGAAAAGGACTTGGGGGTACTGGTGGACAAAAAGCTGGACATGAGTCAACAATGTGTGCTCACAGGCCAGAAGATCAATAGCATTCTGGGCTGCATCAAAAGAAGAGTGGTGTGATGATTTCAAGAGAGGATTCTGCCGCTTTACTCCACTCTGGTGGGACCTTACCTGGAGTACTGTGTCCAGCTCTGGAGCCCTCAGTACAAGAACAACATGGACTTGTTGGAGCCAGTCCAGAGGAGGGCCACAAAGAGGATCAGAGGGAGGGAGCACCTCTCCTATGAAAACAGGCTGAGAGAGTTGGGGTAGTTCAGTCTGGAGAAGAGAAGGCTCCAGGGAGACCTTATTAGCACCTTTCCAGTACATGAAAGGGGCTAACAAAAAAGCTGGGGAGGGACTGTTTATAAGGGTGTGCAGTGATAGGATGAGGGGCAATGGTTT